GATGCCCATATGGTAGTGTCATCAGCAAATAAAACCACTTTCACTAAATCAGAAACCTTACATATATCATTGATGTATAATATAAATAGTTTAGGTCCCAAAACAGAACCCTGAGGCACTCCACATACAATATCCAGCTCACTCGATTGGTATTCACCCAACTTCACAAATTGACGCCTCTGTGTCAAATAACTTCTAATCCACTTACACAATTAAAGAAAAAAAAGAGGTTGCATCTTTTCAGAAATAATGTTCCACTTTGTCAGCAGTTTGCTGTTCTCATAGCTGTTTTGAAATCTGTTGTTTGTTGTCTGACTTGAAATGTCTTAAGGTTTTGCTAGTTGTTCAGTTATAGTCCTAAAATGATACCTGATCACTATAGTAAACGGTATATTAACCATTAACCGTGATGACATGAGCAAAATAAACCGTTTTGCACAGGTTTGCAGTTACAGCTCCTGACATTGTCACGGTTGATGGTGGTGTATGTTTTGTCAGTTACGTCAGTGGTCATATTTCTCTACATTTCTTTTTGTGCAGCAAAACGTTACGCTTGATGCCATCTTACAGGTAAGAGTTTACTTCATTCAAGCCTTCCCTTACTGTGCAAAGGCTTTAGGCACTAAAGTGAGAATCCTTTCAAAAGTAATGCCACCGTTTTTATTCATCATTTAATTTCATACAGTAAAATAAACAGGAAAAAGCCCAAATCAATGATAGGTGTTTGATTTGACCACCCCAGTTCTCCAAGTTACGTGCATGTACAGTTGGTCAAGGTACTTGGTGGGTAGGTTTTTTCTAAGCATCTTGAAGAACTTGCCACAGAACGTCTGTGGTATTAGGCTTTCACATTGTCTTCTGTCTTTTTATGTAATCCCAGACTGACTCCATGACGTAGCAATGAGGGTTCTGTGGGATTTATGTCACGTTTTGCAGAACTCCTTGTTCTTCTTAGCACCGAAGAAGGTTCCTTATGACTCTGGCTATAGATTTGTTGTCATTGTCATGCTGTAGAATGAATTTGGGACCGATCTGCCACCTCCTTGATGACAATGTGTGATGACTATCGATCCAAACATTCAGAGTGCCTAAAACTTTAGCACAGTATTTTTCATTAACCTCTCCCAAATGCATCAGCAAATGCCTCTTAACCACTGGCTAATTAGGCTGCGCTTCACTCTGTCACCACAGAATGCTACCAGTGATAATGCTGTGGTACAGCTCAGTGCTGTACAGGCAGCCAGGTGAGTCATTGACAGAATATGCACAAGACAGACACCAGTTGTTTTTGTATATAAAGTTCTTGAGATTTTTTTTTTTTCTGCTTTTGTCAGAAAACTGCTCTCGAGTGACAGAAACCCTCCCATCGATGACTTGATAAAGTCTGGGATCCTGCCTATTTTAGTCAAATGCCTGGAACGGGACGACAAGTAAGTCTGCTTCAGTTTGTGTTTGCCTTCAGTGTTATTTGTCTGTGACGCAGTGAGTGTTCTATTTAAGACCATAGACGTCTGTGAAGTTCTTTTTTTTTCTTCAATGGATTACTGCTGTTGCTACATCAAGTCTTTGCTGCAACAGAGGCTTTGTGTGTGTGTGTGTCCACATGTGAGTGTGTAGAGGCACACGGGCCGGTTGGCTGGTCCTGACTGTCCAGACAAAGCCAAATATAACAGCATTTCTGTCTATTGGAGTTCCCTAATTCCCAGGACCTTGTGTTCACTGAGGGGCAGGATGAATAGTTGGGGTGGAAGGACTTGTAAAGAAGAAGGTGCAAGGACTTTTCCCATAGCAACCTACAACTGATAGCATCATGGAACAAAATCTTATGTTGGACATTTGTGGTATTTGAGTTTCTTCTAAATGCAGCAGTGCAGTATAATTATCTATCAAGAGGCAATAATTGTTCACTGTGTTGCCATAGCATTATGGCAGAGAGCCACGCCAGCTCAGTTTGACATATTGAGCTACAGAATTGCAGTGAAATGTACAGCATGAAATCCTGCACCACTTCACAAAATATCTTTTCTGAGGTGTTCAAATTAAATCCGGGGACCCATGATAGGCCGGAAAATTAAACTCTTTGGTCCACAGCCAAGCACAGTAGTTGGTTACATTACAAATGGCAACACCTGCTGTTTGCCATGTTACATCCCAGCTAAAACTTCAAAATCAATATGAGCTTCAGACTACGGGTGGTTGTCTGATAAAATATTTAGTGGGATAGACAGACTTACCACCCTTGGCCATGGATTAATAGCATTTGGCTGGTGGGAGGTGTGAGGGCCGCTTGTAACTGTGTGATTTCAAATTTTTTGTTGAACAATTTAAAAAAAAAAAAACTAATTTCCAGATCATCTTCCCTTTTGAGCACAGCCCCAGTCTGCCAACCAGCATGATATCTAGACCACTGGTCTGGTGCAAGATGCACTGTGGACCGCAGAGATCGTGGTTTTACCGGAGTTTCACACAGATTATTAATCTCTTTTTAAACAGACTCTACTGTGCCGTCAGACAAGCATATTAGGTGCTTGGGGAAAGAATTAGTCTTGGATAAAACGTGATGATTGCTGGAAATTTATAAAATGTGCACTTTAAAGGGTTTTTAATTGTCTGTCTTGAAGTGGGTTTGTTGCCTTTGTCCTACAGCCCCTCTCTTCAATTTGAGGCAGCTTGGGCTCTGACCAACATTGCCTCTGGGACATCCGCACAGACTCAGGCTGTGGTTAAATCCAGTAAGTTGACCCCCATATTCTCTTTTCCCCAGTTTTACCCCTTCAGTCTGTGTTTGTATACTGTCTGCAGTCTGCCAGCAGTCTGCCCTGCAAGCATATTTCTTTCTTCACTCAGTGAGTCAGTTTTGGGGTTTTTTTTTTTTTGATGATTGCTTCGATTCAGAATGCTCTGTTATCTAATAAAAACATGACTGGAGATGGAAACCATGATCAGTATTCCTATGATGAGCTTGCTGTCACAGAGACAGGATTTGTTTACTTAAAGCAATACTTAAATAGTTTATACTTACAAATCTACATAGAACATTTTATCCTTGTTAGCACTGAACTGATAAATCTCCATCAGATTCCATCAAGCCAAGTTCAGCTACTGTTGGTCTAACTTTCAGGAATTTAGCTTAGCCTGAGGAAATATTTTCATTAGAGCTTTTTTTAATCTTGTTTTAGGCAATAGATTATTTATACAATTTACTGGTACCTAAGATTTGTTGTGCCCAGGGAAGTGCAGCAAAACACAGGAGTGTCATAGATGTCAGTCAAGCGCTGTCTGTACATGTCCCACAGCCAAAGGAAGATGTTTATAAAGGCAATATATCTAAAAGCGATCCAGATCTGTGATACAGGTGTGGATTTGTCTTTATTTGGCACCAGAGCCTGTCATTGCAGTTGCACAAACTGTCGCCTTGGGAAAACGTTTTGATATGTTGACGTTTGTGTGTCCAGGTGCAGTGCCCCTGTTCTTGCGACTGCTACACTCCCCCCACCAAAACGTGTGTGAACAGGCTGTGTGGGCTTTAGGAAACATTATAGGTAAGTATTGTACTTGAAGAGAGGTTTGTTTGTGTGTGTCTAGTGCTCAGAAACAACTGTTCAGAGTTATGTTGACCCTCTGCCCCTTGCCTGCCCAGGTGATGGTCCACAGTGCAGGGATTATGTCATCTCCCTGGGCGTGGTCAAGCCCCTGCTTTCTTTCATCAATCCATCAATCCCCATTACCTTCCTCCGCAATGTTACCTGGGTCATTGTTAACCTCTGCCGCAACAAGGATCCACCACCACCCATGGAAACTGTGCAGGAGGTGGGTGTGTGTGCAGGCTTTCATGTGCCAGACAGATGGACGTGTTGCTTTGCAGTTGACTGTCACTGTAGGCTGAGTCACACACAGCTTTTCAGTAGTCGAATCAGCCTCATCACCCAGGGAACATATAGCTATAAAGGTCTTTGGCGACATTTTGAAGTCTGGTTTTCACAGCTATTCATCTTTAATTTTTATATATATATATATATAGTGTTTTTGCACTCTGTCCTGCTTTTCTGATAAACTCTCTCAGGTATTAACATTGCAAATTTAGAGGTTTAATTTGATCCATCTATTCCTTTGCCTTCATCCAACCCACTCACAACCTACTTTTCATTCCCCACAGATTTTGCCTGCCCTCTGTGTGCTAATATATCACACCGATATAAATGTAAGTATCAGAGTGAAGGGTGATTGTTTCATTCATTTCCTGTTCACAGATTTTTTGGTTTGTATAGACAATTTTCTTTCAGTATGCAATTTTTCTTAATGCCAACAGTATAATTATTGCACACAGTATAATAGTGTGTATATATGTGTGAAGTTTTGTGTGTGTGTGTGTGTGTGTGTGTGTGTGTGTTTAGATCCTAGTAGACACAGTGTGGGCCCTGTCCTACCTGACAGACGGAGGTAATGAGCAGATCCAGATGGTTATTGATTCTGGAGTGGTTCCATTTCTTGTTCCTCTCCTCAGCCATCAGGAGGTCAAAGTTCAGGTGAGACTTTGTGTTGCTCTAATTCACTGATCATTGCGTTCCGTCTCCAGTAACAATGACTGCTTTCATTTTGGTCCTGCATGAATTAAATTTTTCTTCTCTCTCTCTCTCTCTCGTCCTAAAAACCACAGACAGCAGCTCTGCGGGCAGTTGGAAATATTGTGACAGGGACAGACGAACAGACCCAGGTTGTGCTCAACTGTGATGTCCTCTCACATTTCCCCAACCTGCTCACACACCCTAAAGAAAAGATCAACAAGGTATTCCAGCCTCCGCCTCAGTCTTTGTCATTTCACTGTCGGACGTATAATGTTGTTCATATCTTACTTATTCATTTCAACAGTGATTGAGCTTACACCCTGTTTGCACTGGAGCAGGTTACTAGTAAATCAAACATCCAATAAAATGTTTGTTTTTCTTTGTTTTGTTTTGTTTTTAAGAAGCATTTTAGCTTTTTGATCTGGCATTTCTACCCTGTGTTTAGTGGGGAGTCCTTGAACACAAATCAAAAAAGCCTGTTTCACATTAATTAGCCTTTCCTGTTAAAAAGTTGTTCAAGAAATGTTGATATGATGCTGAATCTGTATTAAAAGGCTTCTGGATTGCCAGTGATTTGGCACTAAATCCAGAAATGACTAATGGATTGCTAAAAAAAAATTAAGGGAATACTTAATCATCACAGTATAACACCCAAGTCGGTTAAACGTAAGGGATTTCAAAATATTTGGGAAGCACAAATGATTGTGAATCAGTTTCACCTGTTTTGGTGCAAATGAAAGTGAAACGGATGCAATGGAGAGGCAGAAGCAAGACGACCCCCAAAAAGGGAATGGTTTTGCCTGTGGTGGCTTTCTCCTTATCCTTCCTGACAGATTCTTCTCAGGTTTTGTGTTTTGCTAGTGTCCTTGTCACTACTGGTGGCATGAGGCAGTACCTGCAGCCCAATCAGGTTGCACAGGTAGTCCAGGTGCTCTAAGATGGTACATCCATATGTGCAGTTGCAAGGTTTGCTGTGTCTCCCAGCACAGTATCAAGAGCATGGTGGATACCAGGTGACCAGCTGTTACACCAAGAGAGCTGGACAGGGCCGTAGATGGGCAGCAATCTAGCTGCTCCTTTGTGTAAGGAGGAAGAGGAGGAGCACTGCAAGAGCCCTTTAAAATGACCTCCAGCAGCTGCTGTTGTGTACATTTGTGCTCTAAGATGGTACATCCATATGTGCAGTTGCAAGGTTTGCTGTGTCTCCCAGCACAGTATCAAGAGCATGGTGGATACCAGGTGACCAGCTGTTACACCAAGAGAGCTGGACAGGGCCGTAGATGGGCAGCAATCTAGCTGCTCCTTTGTGTAAGGAGGAAGAGGAGGAGCACTGCAAGAGCCCTTTAAAATGACCTCCAGCAGCTGCTGTTGTGTACATTTCTAACCAAACTGTCAGAAACAGACTCTATGAGGGTGGCATGAGGGCCTGACATCCTCTAATATGACCTGTGCTCACAGCCCCACACCGTGCAGTTTGATTGGCATTTGCCAGAGAACACCAGAACTGGCGGGTCTACCGCTGGTGCCCCGTTCTTTTCACAGTTGAGAGCAGGTTCACACTGAGCACATGTGAAAGGTGTGCAAGAGTCTGGAGATGCCGTGGTGACCGTTATGCTGCCTGTAGCATCATCAGGCATGACGGGTTTGGTAGTGGGTCAGTGATTGTCTGAGGAGGCATGACCTTGGAGGGTCACACAGACCTCCATGTCATAACCAGTGGTATAGGGCTCTACCCAACCAAGCATTTTGTCAGTCAGCTCTTCAGTGTGACTATTTGACTATTCATTCTTTCAGCTTGTGGATTTTGTCCATTTCTCCTCATTCTGCAGTTTGATAAATAGATCTGACTTTAATGTACATTCATGTATCAGTGTCATCGTTGAAGTGGGGTTCCCCCCCCCCAGCCACAGGAGGAAGTATTGAGCAGGGTCTGGGGCTATCTTCTATTGTAATGCACACTGGCTGGCAAAAGTTCAAATATAATAAAGTAAAAACAAAGGCTTGACTAGAAGAGTCTCAGTCGACTGACAGGTCTCGTGTCTAATGACTTGATTATTAGAGAGCAGCCCCACAGCAGTACCGCAATTGCTGTGAGGTACTGGGATGAAATCCTTAGAGGGATTGTCAGACCTTATGCTGGTGCAATGGGCCCTGGGCCCTGGGCAGTTCCTGTATGATGAAGGCACTGATGTCACTGACTGGCCCTCACATTCCACTGACTCAAATCAAGCTGAGCACCTATGGAACATTGTCTATCGGTGCATCCGGTACCACCATGTACCACCACAGACTGCCCAGGAGTTCACTGATTCTCTGATCCAGGTGTGGGAGGAGATCCCCCAAGGACACCATCCACAGACTCATCAGGAACATGCCCAGACTTTGTCAGGGGTGCATACATGCACACAGGGGCCATACACACTTCTGAGTCACATTATGGGGTGCTGTGTTGAAATTTACGCACCTTGGATGAGTCTGTGATTTCAGTTTTTCACTTTTTCAGTTTGATTTTGAACATGGCCCTGGTGATTTTAATTTCCATGGAATGTTATGTCATTTTGTTCTGAACAAATTATACAATATACATTAGTAAAGGTTTTCATCGTAAATAATTTGTTCAATAAGATCTGATGTGTGAGTTTGTGTTCCCCTAATTTTTTTTAGCACTGTATATATGCAGCAGATCTATGTGTATGTATGTGTGCTTGTTTTAAGCATTTATGATCTGTCTGTTTACAGGAAGCAGTCTGGTTCCTGTCCAACATTACAGCTGGGAACCAGCAGCAGGTCCAAGCTGTCATTGATGCCGGACTGATTCCTATGATCATTCACCAGCTGGCTAAGGTTTGTTCGTGGTGGAAGAGCAGAAGAGATGCTCCTTTCCGTGTTTCCCATAGAATTGGCAGTAGCTCATGGGGGGTGTCATGTGTATACCTCTGTGCTGTTCATCTGACCTATCTCTGCTGCATTAGCTCTCCCACCTCCTACCACTCTCTTTTCCTGACTCTCTTGCTGCTGCAGAAGCACTTGTTGAAATCAGTAAATATTTTAAACTGATAAATTGGATCGCTAAACGCACTGATCGGACTGATCAGTGTTTTTTGATGTTCCCCTGGACTAAGGAGGCAAACATTCAGCATCTGAATTTATGATCTAGCATTAACTTTATCCACTTGCAGAATCAGAATTGGCTTTATTGGCAGGTGTGTTGGACACATGAGGAATTTGACTCTGTGATTTTGACTTAATGCAGAACAGTCCATTTACATCCATGCAGCGTGCAGACTGGGCAGCAGCTGTATTCTAACATTGGCTTAGCTAGCCTCACTAGCTTGCTAATAACATATTGGAAGAGTTGGATCTCGGCGATTGATAGCGTTATGTTAAAAAAAACAAACAGGAGGAGCTTTTCACGGACGGTTCGCCGTCATGGTCGACGTGTGTATGAGAAAGAAACAGCAGGGCACAGAGGGACTGAGTAAATAAATCCGCTACACGTAGCACTACATTGAAATAAGATTTAACCTATTTTAAATCAATATGTGACATACGGTGTTGATAATGTGGCGGCCTGCCACAAATGAATCAATGTCTGGGGAAACTCTGCACTTTTCTCAACAGATGATACCAAACGAAATTTTGAAAGCATTAATTATGTATTAAGTTACATCGGCACAGTACATGTTTACAGACCGAGAAGCAACACAACCTTTGATAAATGAAATGGACACTGAATGCAAACCTGGTCTAGATTTTCTGTGTGTCTTGGTGTTGTGGTTGTAGAAAAGACCTGCTGCATGCACATCCTAGTAACAGACTGTCTCTCTACAGGGTGACTTTGGCACTCAAAAGGAGGCAGCATGGGCCATCAGCAACCTCACCATCAGTGGGAGGAAAGACCAGGTGAGCAGGGCTTTGGACAGCACTGATGTAGATGTCTTGTGCTTATACTGAAATACCTTTACTGCTGTGCAGGGTGTAATATTATTATTACTATTATTATTATTATTGAATTCAGATCATTGTGAGTGAATTACAAGGACATGTTCCACACTTGTAACCATGTGTCTATGTTGTAATCAAGTATGGATGTGGTGTGTATGTGTGGGTTTGTGTAGGTGGAGTTCCTGGTGGAGCAGAACGTCATCCCTCCATTCTGTAACCTGCTTTCAGTGAAGGACTCCCAGGTGGTGCAGGTCGTCCTGGACGGCCTAAAGAATATCCTCATCATGGCAGGAGATGAGGCCAGCACCATCGCTGAGATCATAGAGGAGTGTGGAGGTCTGTTCTCTGCATCATGCCTCAGTCTGCTCTCTTCATTTGTATCATAAATTTAAGCTTGGGTATTTTTTTGTTTTTTGTTGTGTTTTTTTTTCCACCCAAGGACTTTTTGGAATTGTAATTTGTTTTTACAGCCATCTCAATTTTCCAAACTGTGTAAATTTGTGTGTTTCAATTTTTTAGGTTTGGAGAAGATAGAAAATCTGCAGCAGCATGAGAATGAGGATATTTACAAACTAGCCTTTGAGATTATTGATCAGTACTTTTCAGGAGATGATGTGAGTTTACCATCAGCAATATACACCTCAATTTTTTTAAACTTGTTTTTCCTCCACAATCATCGACTTCTGCTGCTGTGACCTCATTATGTGTCTTTTTCAGATTGATGAAGATCCCAGTTTGATCCCTGAAACCACTCAAGGAGGAACCTTCAATTTTGATCCAGCTTCGAACATGCAAGCCAAGGAGTTTAATTTCTAAAAGCCAGGATGTTTGGTTCAACTAGCTGCACGGGTACTCTGTAATCACCCCAGATGTTCATCCATCTCTTCTCCAACCTGGCAACTTGGTACAGAAGGATTTACTTAGCATCACTTCAACATGGAAATTCACCACTGAAGGATTTACCCACCCCCACCTCTGCACTGTGGGATGTTTTTATTTCTAAATGGTCATCCTTCACAGGAAACGGCAAACCTTCATTGGAGTCCTGGTCATTCAACAGGCATCATCACCATCTGGCAACCTGCATCAGGAGGATTGCCGGTGTTCTCTGCCAGTGCTTCTAAATGTCACACAAAAATAAAACCAGAAGGAAGAAAATGCTGTTGGGCAAGATTTAATTGCCAAATGTCAAGTCTTCACAAAGACAGAAACACAAGCACATGTCCAGGCACGAGCACGCATATACACTTTTTGACATATAGAATTTGTGTGCATACTTCTTAGAAGCCATCATGTCACTTATGGGGAAGAAATACTGCTGTTTGTTTGTGGTTTATTTTTGTGCTTTCCCTCCCCTGGATTGTCCTCTGGTGTTACTTCACCCACGCGCACGCACACTGACATTCAAATACACAAATCAACACACTTAGTCACACTGATTTCTGATGGCCGGGCACCTTGATAACCCTCTCTCACCCAGTTTAAAGAGTTAATCCCAGAGCTAAGCCATGATTAACCACGGACCCCCACTGCCCTCCCAGGAGAGTTCTTGGGCAGGTGGAGGGGTGAAAGGGCTCTAAGGCGAAAAGAGGAACTCTGTGGAAACCTGACTGACGGGACTTCTGACTCAATGACGTCACTTTTTTCAATGTGATCCCTGAATTATCAAACAATGTTTAAGAAAATCATGAAAAATGTGAAGAATACGCCATAATTTTTTCCAACACATACTGTAAGACCTGCTAACTGCCTGCTTCTGATTCAGCAGAGCGACAACGTTGTTTTTTACGGATGTGAATATGGGAGGAAGCACCTTTGGGTGAAGGAGCAGAGACTTAAGAGGAACGTGTCAGCTGTAGCGTTTTAAACCCCCCCCCCTCCATACACACAGGACAGTGTCTGCAGCATGAGCTCGTCACATCATGTGATCCAGTCAACTCTTTGCTTGGGACTCCCCTGTAATGTGAAACTCTAAAGGGGGAGGTTTACAAAAAAAAAAAAAAAAAAAAAAAAAAAAAAAAAAAAAAAAAAAAAAAAAAGTCGAGCTAAAATCATCCTTAATATTAAACCTGTTTTAGTTCTTTTAAATTCTCTTCAATCAGATATTTTAGGTTCGGTTCACCATCTTCAGGTTGGGTCTGTGGAGCTTCCATATGTTTTTTGCTTTTTCCTTATCTTCAGTCTTATGCACATGTCTAAGAGGCATATTGATGTCTGCTTGCAGAGAGGGACCTGTACTCATTGAAGACTAAACATGTATACAGAGTACAGGTCCTGACCTTTACAATACTAAACTACTTTTGATGTAGAGGTCACATGTCATCACTCAATTTGAATAACTGTACAAAAATGTGATGTGTATCTCTCCTTGCCGTCTAATGAATATATGAATATATTTACATAAAGCCTGTACAGAGCTGCTGCAGCTGACAGTCATTGGATGGATGACATCCTTATTGTCAGAGATGGCTGGGGAGGGCTTTTCTGTTGAAGCAATATTTCTTTGTTTCATTGTTTTTATTTTTGACTTGCATATGTATTGTGATGACATGCTGATAAATTGGAACAGGCTGTTTTTTGTTCTTTTTTCCTCTTCGTAGTGGTGACGGCCTGTTTAAAATGTACCGTCCCATGCCCCGGTTGGCACATGGGTTTAGGTTTGAGGTGTCAAACTCTTGAGCCCAGCCCGACCCTGTTCTCGACGACTTTATGATCCTCTGGTTGGCTGCTAACTACTGAGAGAGGGTCAGAGCGATGGGTGGGGTCATACTGGGGTTTTAAATATTGGGTGGGGCTGTTATGGGCAGCCCAGGCTTGTTTTTGGGACTAGCTGTTTATTACTGAACAAAACTATAGAGAGGGTGTACAGTCATGATCTAGCAGACTAGACCGAGCCACTTTAAAGATTTACAATTTCATTGCCTTGTATCTGAATTGGATACAAGCTTATGTTTGTTGCAAGATTTTTACTTGCTAATGAAAAGTTGTTTTAAATAAAATAATAGGAGAAAAGCAACAGACAGCGTTTTGGCCTCTGTTTATATCTTTTTATAAATTTTAGATTGAATTCTTTAAGGTGGCTCACTGATGCTTTCAACTCTTGTGCATATTAAAGACAAGAATGAGTTGAAAATCATTGTGCCTTTTGTTTTTCATTTCAATGCAAACTGAGGTTGATTGAATAGAAGCAAATCTGGGAATTTTTGAAATGGGAGATGTGGTTACAGTAATATGTGATCTCCCGGTTATTGGAGTTTACCATGGGAATGGTCAGCACGACTCTCTGCTGTTGAGAGTAACTGCTCCTCTCCATATATATTCTATGAACATTGTAATGCACCATTTTCCCACTCATTAAATAACCCCCATCCACCCCCAAACACAACACAAACCATCATTGCCATATTTCAGTCAGGGGATTTTGATATAATCTCCTCTCATCTCGCCCTCAGGACATTATCTGTGTTTCTGATCCTAACCAAAATAAACTTGCTGTTTAGCCGTTGGATCCTCCGTGCTTGGATGTGTTGTGTTTCACACATGCTATTGGTCAAATTTAAGTGCTATGAGTGTCATTGTTGGACAGACCCAGTTTTTTTTTTCTCCCTGAGCTCATGAGTTTTTATGCAATTCAAATTGTTCTGCACACACTGATCCTGCATCACTTCCTCTCCTGATTAAGGGCAAAGACACCATCATGTTATCAAAGAGGACTTTTAAGTTCTTTTTTGTATACCACCCATCTTTTCCTCTTGTTTGGTACGTCTTATACATGATGGGTAATATGTCAACAAATAAAAGGATGGGGTTAGTGGAGTCATTGTCTCTTTATGGCCCTGCAATTTGTCAATTTACATGATCATCAAGAAATATCAGGCTTGTTTGCTACAGTGGGGACAACAGGTTGGTTCCTGGCCTGCTCATGTTGACTCCTGAAACTTGGTTTACAGTGGACACTTAGAATAGCTCGCTGTGTAACGTTTGGCATAGTTTGTTTGCTGAACCCATGCACTTGTTGAACACACTGACTTCAGGGGAATGATTAACTCGGTGTGCATACACTGAATTTGGGTTTAAGGTGGGGTTTGTAACAAAGAAATGCAAAATAAGATAACAGGCCTGTGAGTGAAACATTAATGCTTCTTGATCATATTCTATAAGCTCCAGGTTTACTGTGTAGAAATGACTTGGTGATCATTTGAGTTGGTTGCTGGGCCTCTAGGTAAGATTTGATTACATTGCCATGTGTAGTCTCTCTTGCCTTGTTAAAAATACTTAAAATTACATTTACTCATATTCCTTTATTGAAAAATAAAGAATCAATTATGTCAGTATTGTTGATTTTAAAAGTTAAACTGCCAAATTTTCTCCTACTTCACTGAAAGGTCTGTTTGCAGAGTATGTTTACTGGCAGTTTCATGTTACATCACACTTGTTTAAATTACATATCAATCACAGCTTCCAAGATGTCAGGAAATAATACCTGTGCAAACCCACCTCAAACTCACATTTAAGGTGAGTACAGAGATGCTTTCCCCCTTCAGCACAACAATGTGAAAAGGGTCTTCTGTCAAACTCTGCACAGTGAAGCCACAACATGAGTAAACTATCAATTAGAAAAACTTTTTAGTAAATGTGGACTGAAAGAATTTGCGTAAAAATTGTTTTTGTCAAACCATTGTTGTTGCAGACATTGCCAAATTAACTTCCTAGAGGACCCCTATTTGCCCCGTTGTACATAGCAATTTAATTATTTCACCCAGAAACAAACAAGTAGCCTATAAATAAAATGAGTTGATTAATCAGTTAGTAGTTAAAGAAGAAATTTAATTGATCACTAATCATTGTTTTTTTAAGCAAAGATGCCAAATATTGACTTGTGCCAGCTTATGAATTGTGAATATTTGCCAGTTGTCTCTAATAGGTAACACAATTTTTAATGTAAATATTTTTTTCACTAGATAAAAACTTTATTAATCCCCAAGGGGGAAACTTCCTTGTTCACTATCTACACAATAGACTGCAATACCAACATCGGGTAAACAACAAATAAGGAATTTGGTTAATTAAAAACTAAAATCCTACTTTGCCGAAAGTGTTTTCTGTGTTGACCACTTAACAATTTGCAACTTGATACAACACAACCTTACAACAAAAACAACTACAATATAAATCAAACCTTGCAGGACCTAATAGTTTCCCTTGGGCTGCAGGGTTCCAAAGATATACCTCATTTAAGATTACTGGAATTAAAATAATATGTAAACCTTTCGTATTACCCTTTACTACCATGGACTGGATTGATCATATTCCCTCCGTCTGCACTCGATTGCTTTTGGCCTTTGTACCACGTGATATTTTCTTCTCACTTCCGCAAATAAACGTCAGAGCAGCGGAGTGTGGTAGCTTCCGCGGAAAGTAAAAACACAACCATATTACCTAATCGTGTGTCATGGTGAAACTGTCAGAGAGAACCGTTAAATCGACATATCCAAGTGGTGGGTTTAACGGAAATTGTAAAAGTAAGTTATTATGTGTGGCTTTGTGTGTTGTTAGAGGCTGCTTTCTTCGGACTAGTTTGCTAGCCGTAAGCAGCTGGAAAACGTTAACTCAGATTAGAGAGACTTCCCATACGGATCAGTCTAGCACCAGCTATGTTCAATTTGCTGTGCTGTATCAGCTGGTTAGTTTGCTAAATAATGCATTTGCACCAACGAGCACCATTAGTCAGCCAGCTACCGGTTACTGTCAGTAACATATGTGTGCTGAATGTTTTATCTTACACAGATGGAGGGGGCATTAAGAGTCGCTCATGGTTATATAAAGCTTCCGTGGTCTGACTGTCAACACACATTAAATCTATTTTCTCAGAAATCCTCGAGTATTGCATAACAATATCTCTGAGCAGAACGTAAAGTAGAAACTCCTTTCGGAATCACCTCCTACATTGTTTACATCTGATAGTAATGTTACAGTCGTGCCAGAAATAGTCATGAGATTAATCAATAATGAAAAGAATTGTTATTAGCAGCCCTCATATCGACAGTCAGTTGTCTCCTTAAGACGGAGGTCAGAGCAACGGCAATGACACTTTCAGGATCGCTCCACTGATAGTGAATTTGAGACGGCTTCGTATTTAAACCTCATGGATTATCGCTGGGTAAACCATCACCCCACATAGCTGGCAAAATGTTGATACTAATGTGTTTATTCCTCATTGGCAATTATAGAAACGTCAAGCAGGCAGCCGTTAAAGCTGTCTTATGTGTACTTTGGCAACAGTATAATGTTTGCTGTCATGCAGTACTAGGCTGCAGTTGTACCCCTTTTTTTTATTACAGACCAGGATTGGGTATCTGGTAAAACATGGCGTGAATTAATCCGTTTTCCTATGTAAACAGTTGAGGGATCTAGACAAACTATATCAGTGGTGGGAAGAGTATTCAGATCTTTTTCATAAGGAGAACCAACAATACATTTTTACAAGTAAAATTAACCTTGTCAGTGTTACAGTATGATATATATATTTTCAAATTATTATTACTTTTGTATTATTTACACTGCATCTGAGCAACATTTTAATGTCATACCTGGTACTGGGGTACTTCACTACTCTATACTGTCTACAGTTTGGTTGTTTAATCACTATTAATCATACTTGATGTGTGAAATCTTAATTTACAAAGCATGTGTTAATTGTAGGTTTTTTTCTGTAGTGGAGGGAAAATTGCATTGTTTTCTTTTTTAAATGTAGGGGAGCAGAAGTATAAAGTAACAAAAAATGGACAATGTAAGTACTTAACTTCTGTCCTGCTTAAGATGAGATGAGGCTCGTTCAGATTTACAAACTACTTCTGACTCACACAGCATTACAGACATAACATTTGATATAAGATATTTTGACAATGTTATTGGCAGATATAGACATTCTTTACAACATGTCCTTCTCTGATCATATTCCCGTAAAGATGACCGTGAGACTTGATTAGAGACGTGATTAGACTTGAGTTCTAATCACAAACAGGGAGGATATTTCAGTTTTTCTTTTTTTATAAATCTGCAATAATGTCAAACATTCTGTGTTTTTCTGTCAATGTGGGGTGCTGTGTGTACATTAATGAGGAAAAAAATGAACTTAAATGATTTTAGCATATGGCTGCAATATAACAAAGAGTGAAAACTTTAAGGGGGTCTGAATACTTTCTGTACCCACTGTATATAGTGAGATGTTTGTCATACTGGTATGATCACCAGACTATGTCTGTTAGATGGGATAACTGTATATCTGCGCCTTTCCTGACCGGTAACGGCGTAAGACAAGGTAGTCTGCTTTCCCCAATTTTGTTTAATTTTTACATGAATGATCTGTCTAAAGAGTTAAATATGTGCAGAACAGGATGTATGGTCGGTGACAAAGTTGTGAACCATTTAATGTATGCAGACGACTTTGTGATTTTTAGTCCCAGCTCAGCAGGTCTTCAGCAGCTCTTGAACGTGTGCTCAATGTTTGGGGAATGTCACGATGTCAAGTATAATGCTGTCAAAAGTGTCATTATGATATGCCGTACAAACGAGGACAGGTCCCTTGTATTTCCTTCTTTTAAGTTATCTGATAATATTTTAACTGTGTGCAGTGAAGTTAAGTATTTGGGTCATGTCATTAATGATTGTATGACGCCCTAAGGATATTATTGAGAAAGCCTAGATGGACGAGTACAAGTGAATTGTTCGTGTCATCTCGAGTTAGTACATTTTCCGCTGTTTTAAGAAACTTGATATTTAAATTTATTTGTCGTGTGAATGGTTCAAAAATCATATCATTTTATTGTTGACTAATGTTGCACACAGTGACATGCGTTTTACTTCGGTTCTCTGGAAACACTGGTATACCTGTCTTTTAAAGGGGCAGTAGTTTTATGGGTGTTCTTGTGCTCTAGTTTTTATGTATTTTCTGTTTTTATTGTTTCGTTTTTTTTTAACTGTTCTTTTATTGCTTTTTATTTTGTTTTGAACCTGGACCTTGAGTCTGTAATAAAAGTGTCACCTATATAATCTATTTTAAGGTGTTTATTTCCCTGCCTGTCTTACTGCTTCGACATGATCGTGCTCTGTTAAATTACTGCTGTCAGGAGTGTATATGCATAAAATTTATTGTTAATTATAAGACAGAGAAAAATAATGTATCATTCTTTGAAATTTGAAACAAATTGTACTCTGAGCAGCTTTATACATACCAGCCCAGATCTGTTTGGACTAATGTGACAGCACATGACCCAACCTCTCTTTAATCTCCACAGTGCAGGGGTTGGCCAAGCTGAATATCATTGTGTGATTGTCCCACAGTATTTGAGTATTTAACTGCTTTTTAAAGGAATGCTTTGACTTTGGTGTAAAATGATTTTCCTCAAGGTTAAAACTTGTGTGAGACTGTAAATGTGTAGTTCTTCTCATCCCAGCTCAGATAACTGTGTTTACATGCATTGTCTGAATGAATATTGATATATGTTGACAAATGTCTGATGCTCCCTGACTGTATATGTTTTCACACTCACTCACAGCAGTGACAGCAGCACTGGCATCCCTGCCTAGTCAAACCCTCTCCCTGCCCCTGCCCCCTGCCCTGCCTTTGGATTGAGGTTCATCCCCTCCACCCTGCTGCCCTCGCCACAGACTCAGCAAGCGCATCATGGTGGATGTAACGAAATGGCCAATTTTCAGCCTGCTGGGGCCTCAGGAGCTCTCTGTGATACGGAAAGCATGCGTGTTTGGAACATCTGCTAATGAGGCCATCTACATCACCAGTGATGATGAGGTGAGAGGTCAACGGTTAAACGGGGCTGTGGTTGTGTTTTAAATAATGCAAGGGGAAGTCATTGCTGACCTTTCTAGGAGATGATGTAAAGTTCAAAGGGTTACTGTGAGAAGTTAATTGGTGCATACACCGATCAGGCATAACATTATGACCACCAGCCTAATACTGTTTACATAGGAGTCAATGTGGCAGTTGGTTGGCACTCGTGTCACTCTGCAGCTCACTGTGCATCTTCTGTGAATCCATTTGTTTCCAAGTTATACTGTCAGGAAGAGAACAGATGTGTCTACAGTTCAGTGAAAAATGAAAACATATGTCTTTTTCACTCACCTTTTCATTAATGAAATCCTCTAGGACTCCTCGACCACACAAGAACTCACTTAAATCACATTTTTGGGCAGCATGCAGCTCCTCTCCATCATGACTCAAAGCCACTCTCTCACTCACTGAACTTGGATCCTAACAGATAGTCAGTGTTAATCAATTAGTCAGAATTCTGACTTTCATCTCAGAATTCTAGAATGTTGACATTCTAGAATTGATTCATTCTATAATTCTAGAATGTTGACATTCTAGAATTCATTCATTCTATAATTCTAGAATGTTGACATTCTAGAATTCTGACTTTCATCTTCTGACTTTAAACTCAGAAGTCTGGATACCTGTAAGGAGCCAATTTCAGTGAGTGAGAGAGTGCCTTTGAGTCATGCTGGAGAGGCGCTGCATGATTCCCAAAAATGGGATTTCAGTGAATTTTTGCATGGTCGAGGAGTCCTAGAGGAAGCTATTTCATTAATGGACGAGGAAAAGGTGAGTGAAAAAGACGTGTGTTCGTTTTTCACTGAACTGTAGACACATCTGTGCTCTTTCTGGCAGTATAACTGTGGAAGCAAATGGATTCACAGAAGATGCACAGTGAGCTGCAGAGTGACATGAGTGCCAACCAACTGCCACATTGACTCCTATGTAAACAGTACACAGTTTGGCCCTTGTCAAAGTCACTCAGATCCTTACACTTGCCCATTTTTCCTGCTTCCAACACATCAACTTTGAGGACTGAATATTCACTTGTTGCACACCCCACACACTGCCAGGTGCCACTGTAACAGATAGTCAGTGTTAATCACTTCACCTGCCAGTGGTCATAATGTTATGCCTGATTGTGGTCTAGCTCATAGATATGACCTCATGGTTTTGTAAGTTTTAGCCATTAAACTCAAAGGCATCTCTTCATTACTGTAATTTTCTTTAGCATACTGTGAGATTTTAGTGGGTTTCCCTGCCATGCAAGCAGCTGTTGATCACAGTTCATGCCAGATGCAGCTTTAGTTAAAGCAAAAGTAAAACATGGTTACAATAAGTCATCCACCACAGTGGACCTTTATACTGCTTTTTTTTTTTCCCTCTGTCAGTGTCATAGTGACGTAGTGGTAAGCCGATACTGCCTTAACAACTTTTCATTGGTGGAGTGGTTAAAGCTGCACTTATCAACATTTATATATTTTGACAAATGACTGTGTGAAAGGTGATATTCCTAGTGACGTGCCCAGGAAACATCATCAACTCTGCAGCTTCCTTTAACTGAGCATGTTAATGTCTTTCAGCACAATGTTTTTAAATGTTTGTTTATTTATTTGACAGCCCACAACTTTGCTGTTTTGGTCCAGTGTCACCACTCTGATTAACCCTGTTGCCAGCAGCAGGCTGCAGTTTTTAGCAAAACAAGCTCTAATAAACTAACATAACCTGCTCGGCACCAAACAGCAGACACATAGAGTTAGAAATGAGCTGGTGAACATAATGCAGCATTTAGCAGCTACAGAGCCAGATATTTTCCTCAGAGCTGCAGAAACCACAGCAGTTAATAGGAGAGTGAATATTGGTCTTATATTTGTTATGTTGCCAAAATGTGACTTCAGATACATGCTGATGTTGCTTCATACTTGTCTAATGTATAAATTGCTTAACACTTTACAATACACACTATGAGTGAAGGTTTAGAAGGTTGATGGCAGCAGACCTACACCTGCAGCTCACCACTCGTGGTGTTGTGTATGTGTGTTATATGACCTGTTATCTATTCGGCTGATTCAGGTAGCCTCTGCTTAACCCAGCTTATGATCCAAATGAGATGTTTTCTCTTTTGTGCTTTGCACTCAGGTGTTTGTGTTTGGGCTGAACTGCAGTAACTGCCTGGGAACAGGGGACAGTCTGAGCACCATTGTACCCAAGAAGCTGGACTTTTTGAGTGGGAGGAAGGTGGTCAGCCTAAGCTACGGCAGTGGACCCCACATCCTGTTGGCCACGGCAGGTAGCTAAACAAAACATGTACAATAATCCTCCTCTGCAGAGCTGGATTAAAATGTGCTGCAGAATGACGAGTCGCTTTGTGTTTCAGATGGGGAGCTGTTTGCCTGGGGCCATAACAGCTACAGTCAACTGGGAAATGGGACAACCAACCAAGGACTAGCTCCAGTGCTCGTGTCTGCCAGCCTGCTCAATAAGAAGGTCACGAAGGTGGCCTGTGGTTCTCACCATTCAATGGCTTTGACTGACTCAGGAGAAGTGAGTGTCTAGCAAAAAAAAAAGTATAGTTACTCCTACTGCAGAGTTATACATGCTGCAGAATGGAAGCCAGTTTAAAGCCTTCCTAATGACATGGGTGACTCAGCTTTGGACATAGACAGGGCTATGGGACCTTAAGTCCAGTCACAGCAGGAGCTGATCCCTATGAGCTGAAAACTGACAAACCTTAGCTCAACATAACAAATTTGTAGTGCTCCAGACAAAGTTCGTTTTAGAGCAGTTGAAATATACAAAGAGATCCTCTTGAATAACTTGTTTGATATTTGTTTGTTGTTATAGGATTAGTTCAACATTTTGGGAAAGAAGCATATTTGCTGAGTTAAGTGAGAAGACTGATACCACACTCATGTCTGTAGATCATCAGCCAGCTAACTTGGAAATAGAAATAGTCTGGTACCCATCCCTCCCCTCTTCATGCTTAACCTACAGACATGTGATTTGTATTAGGTTTCTTCTTCTGTACTTTACAAACTGTCAAGCTTTTTGTTGAAGCTGCAGTTTACTGTGATATGGCATGACACTGAAAACCAGAATACACCACATACTCCAGGGCTATTTGACTTGGACACTCTGTACAGCTGATCCATTATGATTACAGTTGGAACTGAACCAACAACTCCCTTACCTCTTAGCATTAAGAGGCTTGGCCACTGTGCACATGAGGGAATAGCTTCCACTAGGGGGACCTAGAAATAGCTTTTGCTCCTAGCCTTGGAGCACAGGCTGGGAAGTGAGGACAGACTGTATTTTATTTGTTTTTGTTTTTGTTTTTTATAATCACAGTCTGCCTCAGCTTTATGCAGAATGCAAAGGAGACACGAAAGAGCAGCTTTACACACTTCTGTCACCACTACTGACCTGTAGCTGCACAGCAAGTGCGTTACATAAGCCTAATATGCATTAATGTTAGACCAGGTTGGTTGCAGAGTATCAGATTACTGTTTCAGAAATATATGATAGTTTAAAACCATAATAAACCTCATGTAGAAACAGAATTTACTCCCTGAAATTCAAATGAGGAGGTGTCAGTTGTACTCGCCACCTTGAGGTCTAACATTTATATATATATATATATGCACGATGGAAACTGCTTCACCACTTCCACTATGCAAAATGAAGCCAAAATATCATGAATACAGCGGCTGCCATCTTGCTTTTTTGCAACCAGATTCTGCGCTCTAGCGACCACAAGTGGAGCGACTGCATCGGCCCGCCAATCAAAGCTGTCGATCAACCTAAATGTACCCCTTTTCATATCATCAAATGATTATACTTCACTTTGGGCTGTTCCTGTTAGGGGTCGCCACAGCGAATCGTCACACTGAGGGTTCGCATGGTGAAGTTTGGCACATGTTTTACACCGGATGCCCTTCCTGACACCCTGACTCAAACCTGGGCCATAGCGGCGAGAGTGCTGAAGCCTAGCCACTAGTCCTTCAGGGACACAAACTTACCAGATAAATGACCACTTGTACACACATCAGTGAGATAATATCTAGCACAAACCACATTAGTGATGTGGAAATTTTTTGGAAATAGAAATAGTCTGGTAGTCTGGAAATTTTATTTGATCTGTAGCTCACTTTTGAGTTTGTAGTTTGGCTCAAGTCCTGTCCACTGACATGGAGGAGGTGGGATTTGTGACCTATACTGCAACCAACCACCTGGTTTTGGTGGCTTCACTTCTGGGAGCTGATGGATTGTCCGTTATTTTTACAGTCGATGGGTCTAACAGATGTCTTTTCTTTGTTGTTTATGGTATTAAATGTTCATACATTGATAATTATTTATACATATATTTTTGGCCTCTCAGCCCTAAATAAAGTGATTATTGTAATTCCATCATTTAGAAACAAGTCTGAAATGATCATAAAAAGCCTTGCTATACAAGAGATCTCTCCATTATTTGGATCTATTGTCTCACCTCTAACCTTCTTGTGTGCCAGGTATATGCATGGGGCTACAACAACTGTGGTCAGGTGGGCTCAGGCTCCACAGCAAACCAGCCCACACCTCGCAGAGTGTCCAGCTGCCTCCAAAGCAAGGTCGCTGTCAGTGTAGTCTGTGGTCAGACGTCATCTCTGGCAGTAATGGATAATGGAGAGGTGATTGTTTGATTCATACTGGAGATATAAACTATGTCTATCCAGTTTAAAACAAAAACAAACAAAAAAAAAAAACTTATGGTAGGTTTCGTTCTCGTCTATTCCAGGTTTATGGTTGGGGCTATAATGGGAATGGACAACTTGGACTTGGGAATAATGGGAACCAGCTCACTCCCTGTCGACTTGTGGCTCTGCAGGATTTATGTGTACAACAGGTGTGAAATGACACACTAACAAAGTGTATACTTTCATGAACCTCTCAATACACATGTGCTGTAATTGAAATTCTTTAAATATTATGGTTTTCTAAAAGGTTATAGGATAGAGCCTTTGCTGTGGTAGGTCCAAACCTATGGAATACATTGCCGCTTTATATTAGGCAGGCCCCCTCACTGTCTACTTTTAAGTCTTATTATGAAGACATACTTGTATTCATTGGCGTTTGACCAGGAATGAGACTCTGTCTGTAGTGTTAGTGTTTATATTACTGTTTATAGCTTTTTATGTGTTGTTTTTTTTTATATTTGTACGATATGTTAAGTGCTTTGGTCAGCTGCACTGTGGTAAAGCGCTATATAAATAAAGTTCAGTTGAGTTATAAGAAGGAAGTCCTATAATGTAAACCCCAACTCACCCGGTGTTATCATTTGAGCTACTGCAGTGAAATGTTTCAGATTTAAATCTTAAAATAATTGTTCTAATAGGGGTGACAGTGGTGCGGTGGGTAGAGTAGCTGTATCCCAACCGGAAGGTTGAAGGTTCGAATCTTGGTGCCTGCAGTCCACATGTCGAAGTGTCCTTGGTCAAGACACTCAAGCCCCCAAGTCGCCCGTGATGGCGGTGCATATGCACACAGCGACCCGGGGCCCTCGGCTCCAAACCAAATTTCGTTGTACGTGTTACAATGGCAATAAAATAAAGCTTCTTCTTCAAATGTTTACACTGAGGCAAAGACAGGGTTTCACATTTTACCTCCTCCATCAACTTAGTTACAGACTAACAGTTACAAAGTAACTGGAGATGAAGGTGATGCCCTGTGTTGTCTAATCCAGAGTAAAGCCAAAGATATTACATTTAGAAGATGAAACACTAAATCATCAAATTTGAGAAGCTGTAACCACCATGTGATGATATATTTAAATAGTCAGTTACAATTAAGACTAATCCATTAATTGTCTGTTTTCATATTTTAGTGGTTACTAAGCTCATTAGAACCTTGAAACTAAAATGGACAATTTATTATTTTTATTCACTGTAAACTGGACTTTGAATGCTCTCTTTTAAAATGAACAAATGTTCTCACTGATGGTGAGTTTGGCTTGCTAAAAATTGGGGGTCTCACATTTAAAGTGATTTGCTTTTCTCTCCAGATTGTCTCAGGCTATGCACACACCCTGGCACTAACAGATGAGGGGTTGCTCTACGCATGGGGTGCCAACACATATGGTCAGCTTGGCACCGGCAACAAGAACAACCAGCTGAGCCCAGTTCAGATCATGACTGAGAAAGAGAGGTGAGCCAGACAGTCTCCACAGATCAAATGACTCCTGCCTTTACTGTCTCTCACGCTGCCGCTGACATCCCTTCTGTGGCTTTCTGTCGAGGGCGCCGCCTGTCACTCCACACATACTTCAGCTGCAAAGACCCAGAGTGGTCAGGTGTACATGTGGGGCCAGTGCCGGGGCCAGTCCATTGTGTTGCCTCACCTCACACATTTTAGCTGCACTGACGACGTCTTTGCATGCTTTGCCACCCCTTCTGTTATGTGGAAGCTTCTTTACATGGGTAAGACATTCCAGATGTTTGGTTTTTACCAGCCATCAACACACAACTGAGGAGGAGGTTTAGTGTTCATATCTGCATTACCAGTTGGGAAATGGCATACATTAAAAAAAAAAACTGGCTAAATAAGTACATAAGTAAAACCTTATTTTTTATTTATATAGCAGTTTTCCAAACAAGGCTTACACTTACAAAAGAGGCAGTAAAAATCATCTGATCAAATTGTTTAAGAATAAATGTTAGTGACAGATCACCTATCTAAACATGTTCCTGTGACTTCAGCTTTGTTTTGTAAATCAAATGAACTGAAGTAGAAATGATACGAAATCTTTTTGCTGAGCAGTGAGCTATGAAATCGGTCTAAAAATGTGTGGTAGGCATGTTATAGATAAAACACACTGTACGGTATTGGAAGAACAGCTTCAAATAATGGACCTTTTTCACAGGAGACATTTTGAACGGTCATAGTAGGAAAAGCAGAATTACGAATGCAAGTTAACAGTAGTGATGGCTCTGTTCTAGTCAAGTGGTCCAATAAGCCACGGCAGTGCGACAGTGAGCCTGCATGAACAATACCAGAACGCTGACACTGAAGCAGCAAAATGTAATTCAGCCATCATTCATTTTATTATTTACACCTGTACCTTTTCTTGCCGTGGCATGTCGACTTGTGTGCTGTGGGAATGGTTTGTTAGCGGAAACAGTTCTCTCTTAATGCTGTACATTGAATTGCATGTTGTGCCTATGTAAAAAAAAATTGAGTTTTGACTTTTTTCAGAATTAGAAATTTAATCTCAGAGTTCTCTTTAAATTCAGAAATCTGGCTTTAAAAAAACTCAGAACTCATCTTTTTTTTACAGTGGCCCTAATCCTCTTCCATACTAACTTAGCTGTAGACAAACTGAACATTTTCTCAGCTGATTAACAGACTTAAGTGTAGTAGCCTTTCATTTAAATAGGAATTATTAAAGACCAGTGCACCAATACGTGTCAATATGATGGAGAAATTGTGCCAAATTACTTTTTTTTTTTTCTTTTTCAGAAAATGCACAAAATAAAGCCTCGTCACAAAGGCATAATAAAACCATAGCCCTTCTTTAGTGGATTATAAAAAATACAAGTGGTTAACGTTCGCGCTACAGTATTTATCTAAGACTGATGCGTGTGTGTGTATGTTTTCTCTCCCCAGAGCATGACGACTTCTTGACTGTGGCGCAGTCTCTGAAGAAGGAGTTTGACAACCCAGAGACAGCCGACCTCAAGTTCTCCGTCGATGGCAAATATATTTATGTCCACAAAGCAGTTCTCAAAATCAGGTCAGGGCTTTGTTTTCACTGCTGTCAGTTTAAGTCGCTAAATCAAAAAAGAGAAACTAAATTAAACATCTATCTATTCTTAACCAACATGTGCAGGTGTGAACACTTCAGATCCATGTTCCAGTCCCACTGGAATGAAGACGGGAAGGAGGTGATTGAAATAGACCAGTTCAGCTACCCAGTCTACCGCTCCTTCTTGGAGTTCCTCTACACAGACAACGTGGAGTTGCCTCCTGAGGATGCTATCGGTCAGATCCACACACCTGTCACAGCCTAATATTTGCTGAGAATCTGTCATGTCAGTTGTTTATACCTGCAGTGTTTGTGTTCTCAGGGCTGCTGGATCTAGCCACATCGTATTGTGAGAACCGCCTGAAACGACTTTGTCAGCACATTATCAAGAGGGGAATCACAGTTGAAAATGCCTTCTCCCTGCTGTCTGCTGCTGTACGCTATGATGCAGAGGTCAGTGTTCACCACCAACGGCCATCTGTTTATATGTATATAATGTAAAAAGCTTTATTTACCTTGAAATACTTGTCTGAAATGGCTGTTCTAAGGTGAATTTAGGACATAATCTGCCTGCGCGTTTCATTCAGTGAGAAGAAAACTGTGCATTGCATTCACCAAAGGAAAAAAAACTGGAGGATTTTATCTTGTACTATCTCATAATTACAAGATCAGGTTCTCGTGATTGAGATCTTTTCTTAATGCAGGAGTTGGAACACTGAATAAATAGAAACCATAACCTAGCCTATTAAAAGGTCCTGATCGCCAGATCTCGTGATTATGAGAAAATATTAATAGGCGTAAGTCATGCAAGCGTATATAAACTTTGACAGGCAATATACTGTTGCCATGGATGCAGTCTGTTACAATATGGGCTGCAATTTGGGTGCTGTTTTTAGCCTAGAAAATAAATAAGTTTTGGAACACTAAGTACACAGAGTTAGCTATTAGCAGTTCATTTTGCTGTGTGCTGTCAGAATTACATAAATATTGAAAAACTCATCGTTTCTCAAGCAGGTTCTGGTTAGTACATGTATACAGTGAGTTACACTGTAGGCAGCAACTTTGAAGCCCATATTAAAAGCTTACTTTTGTTATGTAATGACAACAACTTTGATTTAAAAAAAAAAAAAAAATCATTAAAACCTAATGATTTCCAGGCACATTCTGCAGCCTTCCAACCTCTGCATTCATTCATAATTACGAGATTTGATCTCGTAATTATTAGGGGTGTAACTCGCCACTCATCACAATACCATCCTAAATCAGTCATCCTCGCCAGCGATCTGATGTTTGCTGATAAAAATAAGCCACGATGCGATTTCGACTTGATCAGATTCAGGGGTCTGCGATCGATATCAAGTGATATTATCTGCCAATTTCACACACTTGTATTTTTTTTTTTTATTACCTAAAATGCAACAGAAGTCAAAATTTCAAAATATGAACTCTATTCACATTCAGGTGCTATTTAAATGCAAATAAGGACCAATGATGACCTTCCACTTCAACATAAACCTTTTTGAGATAGGAAGCATTTAGTCACCCATAAAAAAAGCTGGGAAAAAACTTGACTACATTGCAGTAGGCATTTTGTTTAAAACTTAATATTCACACTTACTGTTGTGTTTCCTTTTATAATCCAGAATACTTCCATACTCTCAACTTGTTCCTGATGGGAGGGTTTACTTTATCTGTGTATTTTTCTTGGCCGCTACAGGTCAAGGCCAGTTCTCATAGAAAGCGTTTTGTCACTCGCCCCTCTCACACAACAGATAGTACTCCAATCTATTAAATGTGTCAGTCCACACTGACTCAGATAGACATGTATCACATGCGTATTTTAACAGTGTTTGTTTTGCATCGATGTCATCAGATTGCAGGGTGTTTGGATCATTACACCCCTAGTAATTATTAGACAGTAAGTCATAAGTATTAGATAAGGTCCTCTGTTTTTCTTTAGTGAATGCATTGTATTTCTGAAGAAAACAACTTCTCTTTGCCATGTACCTTTTTTTTTAAGGAATAGTTTAATATTTTGGGAAATGTGCCCATTTGCTTCCTTGCTGAGATTTAGCTGGGGGGGAACAGCAAGCCCAGCATTGTCCAAATGTAATAAAAGGTGCCTAGCTGTTCCTCATTTCCAAGATAAGCTAACAAGCTCCTGGCTCTAGCACCATACAGTATTTACTGTACATCTGTGAGAGTGGTGCTAATCTTCTAATCTGCCTCTTAACATATTTTTCTAAAACATTTCAGTCTCATGCAAAGCTACAAAGTCCTCTAAATATCTGGCAAGTGGGTCAAGTCTAGGAGTTATTCAAAGTATCATTCATTTTATGAGGCTATTTGGGCAAAATGAAGAATCCAGTGCTTATCTGAGCCTTTTTTTGTCACTCAGGAACTGGAGGAGTTCTGCTTTAGGTTCTGCATCAATCACCTGACACAGGTGACCCAGACTACTGCTTTCTGGCAGATGGATGGCAACCTGCTCAAAGATTTTATTTGTCGAGCCAGCCGCTGTGGAGCCTTCAAAAACTGAGCTCAGCCCGAGCTGATTATAGGAACAGATTTACAAGACGCTGTGGGAGCCCTCAAAGGACATCATCGCACACGTCGGCTCCACGCACGTCCTCTTACAGGTGGTTACATAGTGCAAATCGTTAGGTCATCACTACCACTGTCAGATCTGTTATTCCTCATGCCAGACTGGAACCAGTGTGTCCATTTTATGAGCTGTACATACTGAAACTACAAGGCAGTGCTGACAGGAGGCATCAGCACAGCAAGTATCTGCCACAGTGCCCGACTGCCTCATTATATACACATGCTGTGTTGTATGGCAAGCCGTTTGAGCATTTGTTCCATATTATTGCTATCAGATGTCACTTTCCTCCAGGAGTTTGGCCTTTGTCAGCACCAGTTGGATGTTTGGTCACACTAGTTTGTCATTTTACTGATAACACTTCTAATGTTTTGTCCAACCAGTTCCATCTGAAGCCAAACTAGTGCTGCTTTTGACACCATTGATCACAGCATCTTACTGCAGAGACTTGAACATGTTATTGGAATTAAAGGAACTGCACTAAGTTGGTTCAAATCTTATTTATCAGAAGGATTTCAATTTGTTCATGTTAATGATGAATGTTCCACACAAACTGAAGTTAGTCACGGCGTTCCACAGGGCTCTGTGTTAGGTCCAATTCTCTTCACTTTATACATGCTCCCTTTAGGCAATATTATCAGGAAGCACAACATAAATTTCCATTGCTATGCAGATGATACTCAGTTATATTTATCTATGAAGCCAAATGAATCAGATCAGCTGGTCAAACTTCAAGCATGTCTTAAAGACATAAAGGCCTGGATGACCTGCAACTTCTTACTTCTAAACTCTGACAAAACTGAAGTTATTGTGCTTGGGCCTGAAAACCTTAGAAATCTGCTGTCTAACCATATAGTTACTTTAGATGACATAGCTCTTGCCTCCAGTACTACTGCGAGGAACCTTGGAGTCAT